AAAACACATGGATTAGTTAGTACTTTTCTTGTCTGACCTTTTAACCTTTTTGCGTGATTTCTGCTGCCTACTTTCTCAGCATGATGGATTGATTAACAATGACTGCTTCACATGAAGCGGGCAATCAGAACTTATTGTGTCTCAGACGCGAGGTCAGCTGTGTCGTTGCCGGCTGCCGTCTGCAAGACTCATGTCCTAGACTTAACGACATTAGCGCCGTTGTGCATGAATGCCGCCCGTTGTCTGACGTGGTCATTGGTCATCCAATAAGTGGCTGTCGCAAATTCGATTCGGTGCCGTTGTACAAAGTCCGCTGGCAGCTAGATTCAAATTCGGTTGTGTTGACGGTCAGCAGCCAGCAGCATTTCGTCATCAGTGTTTCTATCGGCCTCTGCCTCAGTACTCACTCTGGAAAGCCGTACACTTACGTATTGCGAGTGCCTAATTTTCACTCGCATCGCTGCCAGCTGTCTTTGTCTTTTGTCGTCAGTGTTGAGGATCGTTGAGAAAGGTGGCTAATTTTCCGAGGGTTCTCAGGTTAGGCGGTTACCGTAGCCATGATGCAAGTCCAACTTCTAACTGTACTTTTTCGTCAACAATTGGCATCCAACTGTTCGCCTGATTCTGCTGATATATTTCCTCTCGATCCCAGACTGCCCATCGTTTGGACTTTTCCTACTTTCTTGACCATCAGTGGATAAACCCTTTACGCGACTGTCGTCCTTTTGCTGCCCAACTTATTGCATGCGCCAAGGTAGACAGTGGTTTTGCACCGAACTGGTCGTCGCGGCGGTGTTCGCACTTACGTGTGCAAAACATTTTTTTAATCGATGCCGATCGTCGCTTTTTACCTCGGTTTCGTTCATATGGTGTTCAATGAAACATAGTGAGGTCATCGATCACCTCACCATATACAGTCGACCCTGCATGCTGGCCTGAGGCCTGCCGGTTTTTTCTTCATCGCCTAGCAACGCTAATCATAGGGAAACTGAGTTTTGTGTCCAGTGCACACGAAGCTGTAAATTTGAATGCATGGACGCGACCTGCGCAATTTGTCACTCACCACTGTCCCTCGTCGAACAGCTTCAATTACCTAATACGAATACGTCTTAAGATTTTCCGCAACCGCAATTAGGTGGCAGAAAAACCTAAAAGGTTAAGCAAAAACTTCTCTCGCTTCGTTGTACACGTCCTTACGAGTTTGGCTATCAAGCTTCTTCGTGGCATGCGGCAGTAGTTGCATGAACTAAGCATTTTCAGTGTCGGCGGTGTTCGCGGCGGACCTCGCGGTAGCCGGCAGAAGGCAAACGAGAGATGTTGAGGCTTTTGGTATTTCAGCCATTCGCCTTTATTTTAAATGGCCTGCTTCTTGATCCTGCCGAGAGCTGTTTCTGAATCGTCGAACGGTATTGCACCATACCCTTTATTTCAGTACTGCTCAATACATAGTATGCATATGCCGTCTGATGCATCAG